GGCGATTTGCCGAAACTCTTCCTCCTTTAATACTTTCTGATAAAATATCTTATAAAAGGGTGAGTATGCGAGTAAACTTTTTCTACGTTTTGTTTTTCCGTATGTTTCGGAACCATTCTAGTACTTTCATACCATTCTTCTTCAACCATTTCTTTATCGTAATGATATAAATAATACCAACCCTTTAAAGATAAAGAAGGAGCCGTTAGATTATTGGAAACGTTTTGGAAGACAGTTTTTTTCATGGCTTGATTGTATTTTATCAAACAAGCTCCGAGACATAGAGTATCTCTTTTAGCGTAAGGTTCCCATTCGGGTCTTAAAGATTCCCAATTATCTTTAGTGTATTTTGCAATATTAACATCCTCGATCTTTCTCAAATTCATTGGTAGATTAGATGATGTTCCCCATGCTGCCAAACTAGATGATTCATGTTGATAGGAACATGTGAAATTAATATTTTGCAAATAATTAGATTTCGGGGAAGGGAGGGTTTGATTCTCCCAAATGTACAGGCCTAGGGTGGAGCAGACACTTTATTTAGAAATTAGGATTAAGGGTCTTGATATTGGGATTTCTTCTGTTCTTATTCTGATCTGAAATTAGAAAAAATAACTCGCCCGATGGGCGAGAAGTATAGTATCTGTTATGTACTGATTGTTTTTAGTTTACTATGAACAATATTATCATTTAAGTTCTTATTTTTTGAATATGCAACTATCATTTTCTGCTTATAGACATGGGGGAATTTCTCTTGAAGGCTCTTATAGTGGGCATGAACTATCTTGCTTGCTCGATTGCTGGTTGTATTAAACGGGACAACAAAGGGTGCTATGCCTACATTATGATGAATATTTAGTCCTATAGGTCTTGCTGTATTCAATGTCTCAATCCAATGGGCCTCCCTAGATTGACGGAATTTGGTAGTTTCATCTTCGGGCAAGTCAATTTCTATACGCTCAATTGGGATTAGGGTGAGATCGTCTATTGAATGGTCGTCGAGGTTGAAATGATTAGAAACAGGCTTGTCTTTCTTTAATTTGATGTCTGACCTATGAGCATTAAAGCGAGTTCGTAAATTATTCATAGTTTCTCCTACATATTGTTTGGGGCATTTCTTGCATGAAATTAAATATATTACATTCGAATGTTCACATGTTAGATGTTCCTGGATCGGATACCTTTTATTCGTAGAGTTGCTTACAAAATAATGAGTTTCTGATATAAAGGGACATGTTTTGCATCTACTGGACAAACATGGAGCACTTCT